TCCCTCGTGCACTAACAGCTTTATATTTTGTTGACTGTTTCATTGCTATTAACTCTTGTTCCCAGCATTTCATGTGTTCTGAAGCCCTGATCTGATTCTTAGTCAGGAGTAGGCCAAGAGGCATTTCAGCGCAGCAGAAAAGAAGGTGCTGCTTGTTACGCTGTGAAAAGCTGTGGCTTTTAGAGTGTTTCTTCTGCAGGAAGAGTGTTTCCTGTCTTGCACATGATTGTGAGGGTTCGTTAGAGACCGCGTGAGTTCACACTCGCATGTGTGAACAAACACAGCCTATGGTAAAACCAGCACAAATCTAGAGAAGCTTTGATGAAGTTGGAGCTGTGCCCTGGGCTGTACAAATACGTACAGGTCAGACCTATGCCTGCTTAAGGGCATGTTCTCCTCCAAGGTGCAATCCCTGCAGGGGTGCTACAGAGGTGTGCAAGGGATGCGAGAGGCTGTGGAGGTGGATGGCATCGCCTGCTTCTTCAGGGTGAGGGCACTGGTACCCAAAACTGTTTCCTTCTTCCCCCTGCCTGCCCGTTTCCCTCCGAAATGTGGTGAAAGCAGCAGGAGGGAGCTCCTGGCCAGTGCTGGACCTGAGGGAGCAGCGATCAGTTTGGGGCAGAGTCTGCCCTAGACTACGGCCTCTCCCCGTTCGGTTTTGGCTCTCCTCTTTTCCCTCCTTCTCTCCAACCGGGAGGGGCAGCGAACTCCAGCGTGGACTACAAAACCAAGGGGATTGTGCTACGCTTTTGTATCTGTAGTGACTATTCGCTGCCGGCATTTGTTCGATCCCGTTCCCGGGGCCGGTGCCGCTGTCGGTGCGGTTCCCGCAGGGCCCAACCTGGCGTAGCAGCACCCTCTGTAGCCCGGCTGGAGCACGGCAGCAGCCGCCCGGCCTTCTCCCTGAAGGTTACACAAAGGCATGTGCTGCCGGGGGAGGAATAACGCCGCGCCCATCAATCCGGCGGCGTTTCCTAACGGAGCCGTCTCCCCAGCGGCCCCGCACCGACGGCCGGTTCGCCCGGGTTGTATTAGCGCGGGTGGGTGTCTCTGTGCTGTCCAGATGCCTGAAACAGCGGTCGGATGACAACCGTCACAAGACGTGGCTTTTTTTTGTTGTTGTTTTAAAAATGCGGTGTGCAGTGACCTGCTCTGCAGGGGGAGAGTGAAGGATTTATGTGCGCTCGGAAAGCCCCGTCCCTCAGCGCTGATGGAGAAGCAGACCCTCCGCTCCGCCTGGGAGCTGCAGTGATAAATACTATTGACAGAGCGAGAAAATCAGATACGCCATGTCAGAGCTCTTGCGTTTCTGTTTGCCGGCTGTTTGAGCGGCCGTGAATCAGTGGAGCAGGACACAAAGAGCTCTGTGAGGCACCAGAGAAATGCAGCTAAGAAAAATCCAAGCTGTGTTAATTTTAGTTTGGAAGATGGCTGCTAGAAAACAGTTCAACCCAACAGGATCTGAGTGTTAGCCAGCTCCTTCTGCCCTCTCCCACGGGAAAGAGGGCTATAAAATAAAACTGGCTCATAAAAAGCTGTTAGTCAACCTGTTCACTGCCTGTGACACAGGATGGCAAGGGTCCTAGAAGCAGAGTTGGAGGGGGAAGAAGGTAAAGAGTAAGGAATTCAGAGAAGGGGATGACTGTGTCTAGTAGAGGACAAAAACACCACGGAGATCAGACCGTTCAGAGCCAGTGTGTAAATTCCCTCCAGAAGGTTTAAAAGTTTGTGGTGCCGACTGATAATTCCCACGTTGCAGAAGAAAATCTGGAGCTTGTGTTTTCAATTTCCCTCTCTGAGCAGCTCCTGGTGGGATGCCTGTCAGGATGCAGATGTATCCTGGGGCTGGGCTGTCGGGGTGATCCTGCACTATGTGGATGGGAAGCTGCAGCCCTGTGCTCAGGGCCTTGGTGGGGTGCATGGGCTGCCCGTGACAGCAGAGCCTGGCTATGTCCGGGTGGAAGATCAGGATCCCCTGCCAAATTCTACCTCCCGTTGGTGTGCAACAGTGATGTTTTCTTAACATGTGGCAGTTGCACCACGGGAAACATAAGGCTAACTGTTTTAGTACCCTCTCTCAGCTCTTTTGCTAAAAGACGTTTTTGTGGGAAATGTGTTTTGTGGATTAGTTCTTGGTAAAGAACTATTGGTATTAGCTCGTTTATCTTTTTTCTGTGTGAACTATACATTGTGATGGGAAGAAGATGCACATTGTGCCAGGCATACTCACTCCTTAAGACAGCAGGATTTCGCAGAGGCCCAAAATTTAGAATAGGTTTTATTTGCTGAAGGCAAGACAGAGAAGCCTGGGGGAGAGAAGAAGATGGATCTTTTGGTACTTATCTTTCAGCCCACATAGCCACGTTATCACACTGCTCTCTCGAATCTGCAAACCGTTAGTCAGGGCTGGACTCTGCTGCCTTTGCTGGACGCTAAAGTCGATATGGATGCATGGAAGTTTTGAACTTGGGCATCTAAAATAGGATATTGTAGGTAAGATGGAACAGTCTGGCCAAATCAGCTTTTATTCTTGTATAGTTTCACTATCGTTAGAGAACTAACATTCCTCTCCTTGTCTGTCTTCTAATGGGACTTGCTTACCCAGCAGAAACACTCCTAACTTCCCCAAGGAGACTCTAATCATGTTCCTCCCAGAACTGTACAACAGGAACTCCCCTGTCTCGTCTTCTATATCTGTCTTATTGTAAAATCACGCACTCCTTGATTACTGAAAGATTACTTGATTACTGATCAGCAATGACTGCAGAGCTGATCACAAGCGTCTCTGGCATCCACTACCTCTGCTCTGTTAGTGGTGTCAGCAGACATTTGATTATCTACAGAGATTTGAGCACCAAAGGGGATTCAAGGAGGGACATGAAGGAAATCACATCTAGGGCCCTTCATGCCTCCCTGCCAGTGGGCTGCTGCAAGATCACAGTTCGAGGCCTTTGCTTGTGCAATGTGTGGTGTAATTACTGCAAGGGTAATTGGAAGAAAAAGCCTGCTGCAGTACAATACAGCTTGTCACCTGCAAGATGGGCAGCAAGCCCTTTTAAGTTTTGAGGATGAGAACATCTCACAAGATGCGCTGTAAGGACAAGGCGCAAAAGAGGCTATTAGTTCAAGTAAAATCCTGGAGATTGGCCCAGGTACAGCAGTGATGTGTGTGGGAGGCACCTTGTGCTGCTCATCTTTCAGATACGGATGAGGGCTGAGGACTTTTTTCTCCTTGCTCCTGCCAAAAAAGCAGAGGCTCTTGCTTAGGAATTCATGCTTATGTGTAGCTGCTTGCCCTCTGCAGCTCCTGGGGAATACAGTCAGCCATTCCTGGGTAGTGTTTTCTGTTTGCATTCTTTTAAATGAAAACAGTGGTTCTTGGTTGTGGACAAAAGATCTGTGTTGGCTTAGGGCATTAGTTTAGGTGGATTTGATTATATTTCTAAGGAACATAAACTGTTACTTGGTGTCCTCCCTTTTCTCTAAATAAAAATGTGCTTTCCTTTAAAAACATGTAAGTCTCATAGTGATAGCATTAAGCATGGTGTAAAGACAGTAATGAAGATGGTTGTAACATTTATATATTTTTCAAAGTGCTTTTCGAAGCACTTGGCAGCTGGAGATGCTCTAGAGGCATGGTTGCTGCTGGAGGAAACGACACCCACAGCAAAAGACATGCTGACTGCCCTCTAGCCTTACCTTGTGAAAGAGCCACATCTTGCAGAACTCCATGTCCTTTCACGGAGATTTTGTTGCGTGAGGAGCATGGCTGTTGTCCCTTCCCACCCTGCTGCCGAGGGCCTTGTGGCTTCCCTGGAGGCTGGCAGGATCAGGGAGTGTGTGCCAGAGCCACCTGACCCTGTCCCCTCTGCTTATTCATGGTGGACACCTGCGTGGCCATGGAAGGTGAGAAAGAGACTAATGTTAAATAAATGATTATTAAACATCAGGCTGATGTCCTCTAAGTCATTGCCCATTATTGCACTTCAGGGGCCATTATGCGGTGTGACTTTCAAAAACTTTTTTCTTTCAAAGGTCATGCTGTTTATGCTGCATAATATAGAACACGATTCCACTGTAAATTAGACTTTACCGAGTGCTGCTGTGCTACATGGAAGTGTACAAGATTTGAAGTCACGTGTGTCCTCCTTGTAGGGAAGCAGTTGTGGGAAATATTTAATATCACCTTAATCGGGGGCTTTATGGACTACTAATGAAGTACAGAGGCCTCTCAAGGACACCTCACCATATCTCCTGCCTGCTCTCTAGCCTCCCTAGAATATTTTTCCATTCTTGACAATGTTGAATTTGATTTTACTTTACTGTTACAAGAAGTTTGGGCTAAACTGCAACATTACCTAACCCACAGCCTTTCCTTTTAGCTACAGCAGATAGGCTCAGCCCTGACAGGTTTCTCTGCAGGCAGATAAACAGAGCTGACTTTGAGCTGAAACAATTGCAGAACCTAGTTTGGGAATACAATTTGCCAGAATACTTGTGCGTTATAACTGAGTTAGCAAGCAGCAATGTTAGTTTGTAGGACTGATTTTTTATTATAAAGCCATCTTTTGTGTTTAAATATATACTATCAATGTGGTCTTGTAACATTAAAAATGCCTTGGAAAAAGCAGAAGAGAGAAACCTTTCACATAGAGGCACAAATTACAGAATTAAACCAATTCTGTTTCTTCCATTTCTTTGCTAGAAGCGATGGAGAACAAAAATATTTTCAACTCTCAACCAATGGAAAGAAACCTCGTCAAAATTTCAGAAGAATAAAGTATTTTATAGGTGAAAACTGGTATTTCTGTAATGAAGTTCTTGGACAACTTTTCTTAGGGTATCTAACATGACAGTTTACTGAGAATGTCCCTAGTGGTGCACATGCAGGTTAATTTCATGCAAATACGTTATTTTCCACTGGGTGCTGTTCAAATACAGGACAAAATCCTTAAAGGTAAGCTATCACTAAAAGCCAATATCATTATGGACTACCAGGGTGAGCATCACCTCACAAGCATAAGAAGAGACATACAGTTCTCATTTCTGTTGTGTGGGAACTCCACTTAGGCAGTCCACCCAACAATCTTATACATCAGCGCCCTCAAGAGCCTGGCTTCGTAGGTAACTGTGTTTTTCCCACTGTGCATCCTCCTCTCTTCAAGGGGTTGCTCAATGACAGCTGGGATGTTTCTTCCATACAGCTCACACTGCTTCAGAAACTGAACACACTCCTGAATAACGCTGTCACATAGCACGATCATGTGCTTGGACATGTTCTCCAGCAAGGACAGGAAACACCGTTTGGCATAATACCACGTATCGGTGCTCAGTTTTTTGTTATACGGCTCCAGGCTTTTAATGACCCTTGAAATACCAAAGTCATAGTTTCCCTTCACACAGTAGAGGGTACCAATGACTAGATTGACAATGCAAAGATGGTAGATGTTTGTATCAGGATTATCATAGGACAGCTGCTCTTCTCCCTTTTCGATCTTCCTCATCAGTTCCTCTGCATCTTCATTCTGACTGGTCAGGATGTAGGAAACGCAGAGGTTAGCTAACACAATGGCACTCACGTTGAGAATGTTGTCATAGTGTTTTTTAACTATTGGCTCGTAGAAGCTAATGGCCTCTTTATACTTGTTCTCTTGCATAAAGAGCACATGAGCCACATTGAGCCGCCACACCTCGTGTTCGTTGCAGAATTCCACCGATTTGCGGAAAATCTTTTCTACCATTGTGTACTTCTTCATGTCCCAGTAGATCTTTGCCTGGGCCATCAAGACAGGTACATATCTATCCAGAGTCTCCTCATACTCATTAACTGCCTTTTTCACAGCTTCATCATCCCAGTTTTGCCTAGCTTCTTGAACCTGCTTCATGAGTTTTCTCAGCTGCTCGGTCAGTGTCCCTGCTGAATCATCTAGCTTGTGGAAAGCCTCCTCAGGGGCAGTTTGACAGGTAATAATGGCATCCAAGAAGTTGTACAAATAAGTTGTGAGCAGTTTGTAGGTCAGGTGGGCATTCTCTGCCAGCACATCAGCTGCCAGGTCATAGTACTGATGCTTGCAGTAGAGGAGTAGCAAATTTCCAAAAGTTTCTGGGGGACAGGGGTTCTGCAGTAGGAGAAACTGCAGTTTCTCAAACCCCTCAGTGGGCTGGCTGTCCATGTTCATTAGCGCCTGGTTGTGCAGCGTAACTGGATCCAGCTCCTCTTCAGCCCTTGGCGGCATATCTGTGAGTGCCTCCTGGGCCGCTTTCAGGTTGTGCAGTTGGTACTCAATGGCTGCCTTGAGGTTGAAGACCTCCACCAGGGCTGTGCGGTGCAGGAGCAGCGTGTTGCCTACGCTGCGGACATCGATGCCCTCGGTGGTCATGCCCACGTTGAGCTCTGGGTGCTGGTGGATACCGCGCTCTATGATATCGGAGATGTGTTTGAGGGCAGGAGCGTACTGCTTGGCCGCATAGCAGCACAGTGCCATGTTGTAGGACAGCTCGGGAGAGTAGCCCAACACTTGCATGGCGCTGGCAAACTTGGCGCTGGCCTCCTCGTACCGCCCCTGCCGGCAGAGCAGGCAGCCCAGGTTGATCTCGGCGTTGGCCCTCTCTGAGGGGTCCTCGGCCGCTCCGGGGCCGCTGTCCGCAGCGGGGGCGAGCGC